AACTTGTCCTTATATTTGAGGTGTTTTTGAAAGGTTTGTGCCTGATTTATCAGCGCTGAGTATCAGCGGTGAGTATAAGTGACTACCACTTTCTCCTTCAAACATGTTGTAATGAGTGTACTAAAGATTAAAATATTCGAATATAAAAGTGGTAGTCCCTTGCGCTCATGCATTAACAATCTAATTCGGGACCAAAAATGAGTAATTATTTGAGAAAACTGCAAAACTTCACTGCTTTGAGCTGGTAAACCAGGCAAAAACCTTTCAAAAACACCTCAAATAAGGAAAAGTTCTCACAGGGTAGATGATTAAGAGCCGATTTGACCATACATAACATATTATTCTAAGCTGTTTCAATTTCCGACCAAAGTTATAAGGCCAAAATACCCTCCTTAATGAGACACATTCTTTTATCATGCAAATATGAATTTCAGTGGTGCTGCGGCCTCGAAAAAAGGCCGCGATGATGATTGGTCTGAAACATTCAATAGAATCACTAAAACTATACTGCCCGGTGGCACTCGAACCCCTGCCTCAGGGTTGGGATCCCGCGCATGCGCGCGAGCGGTATGATCCAGACGACTACAAGATATCGCAGTTTACATTGATGCGGTGAAAAAGACTGACTCCGTGTTTGGAGGGCAAAGCTTGGCTCCAGCTCCCCAAACTAGCTGCATGATAACAGAATGTCAGCGCAACTCTGTATAAGCCATAGTTAGCACATGCTTTTATAAGTCTCGAGGTTTATCCCAGCATACAGTTACCAGCCATTCTGCTATCACGGCAGTTGAATTGCCTTTTTATGAATTAAATCAATCAATCGTTCAAAATGAAGTCCTGATTTTGGCTTCTGTAGCCGTAATGGATCCTCCAGAGCAATTTTCCACCTTGCACAAGGCTCATTATTATTTTATTTTTATTCTCAAAATTTGAAGTGGGATAATGGCGGCCTCTCAAGAGCCACATTAAGTTCCCCCGGTTTTTAATCGAACAAGGACTTATATCAAAGACGCTCATTGTCTACATAGTTGCGGCGGGATTCAAGCTTCTAAATTAGAGTCGTTTGAGCGTAGAAAAGCTTATTTGAAGTTTCTGTCAAATAAAATAATACGATTTTGACGGGAAAATGTTCTTAAAGGTTCCCCTTGAGAAGTCTATTCGGTTTTTTGGCGAATGACCATGAGGGTTTGACAGTTTAACGGTTCAAACACGAAAAAACGGATCCGACTGAAAAATAATTTGGACCGCCCATTGAATAGCGGTGGTTTATCGGTGTGCTGTGCTATGGCACATCCGAGTGATTTCAAAAAGCGAGCCCTACTGGGCACGCTTAAAATTGAGGACAACTAAGATGTCAGACAACATGGCGTCGAAGCGTAAATGGCACTTTTGATATCTTAGTTGACGATTTATAACGCATAATTACTCGCTGAAAAAAAGCCCAGTCGTAATTATGAGTCGAGCTATCCATCCGTGTTCTACATATACCGATTGCACTATGCGGTGTGTAAAAACAAAACATTTTTGTCCATAAGTAACACGTTCGGTCTCTGAGATCGCATATTCGATTTTCATCGGGAAAATGATTTACGGTTGAATTGAACATTCGGTTCCTGAGATCGAACGCTTTGATTGGCTCGAACTTCCGATATCGTACGAGCCGAACATTTGCCTTGATAAGCCGAATGGACATGGAACACCGAGATAGCATCTCACACAACTGGTCGGCCCTGGCCAGAAACAAGAGACCCTCCACTGGCCTCCTAGCGACAGGTGAAAAATATTACTTTCGGGGATTCAACAGTTCCTTATGGACAATTATTAGGGAGCAACAGTCATCACCCTAATTTCGGCTGTTGACCTACCTACATGGTCGATGATGAGCTTCAGGTGACGTCATAAGTCAAACAAGTTTCCCAAACGTCGGCCATTTTCGGCTTGTTTGCAAAACAAAACTACCAACCTGTTGTTAAACATCAACCATGTAGGTAAGTCAACAGTAGAATGCTGAAGTCCCGAAAGTAAAAGTTTCCACAAATGGCCAAGATACTAGTGGAGGGTCTCTTGTCTCTGGCCCTGGCCCGTTTGTATCTTCTTCTTCTTCTTCTTCATCCTCTTCTTTTCAATGTAAATAAGAAATTGCGAACAAGCTAGCTGTTTTGCTTTTTAGAGTAAAACTAGTGGGCTATGCCCCCTGGCCGCTGCGCGGCCTAACCCCTTGAGGGCGCTTCGCGCTCTATTAGGCCCGCTTTGACAAGAGAACAACCAAAAAATGAAAAGATTTTCATACTCGACTCTCATTTGGACTGCATTTTGCAATTTGGAACTATAAATTCTGGCCCGGTTTAAAAACAACGTATGTGCCTTTAGTTTCCCTATGCACATAAGTGTTTTTTAAGATGAGCAAGAATTTATAATTCCAAATTGCAAAATGCAGTCCATTTGTCCAATCTCTCTCTGGCCGGGAGCGATTGAACCAATGAGAATCGAATTAAAAAATCGGCATTTATTTCAAACTTCTTGCAAAGACTGAAACGGAACGGAGCAAAGCGTTCCATCGTTTTTCGATAGTCTGTGCCAAAGGGGCACACCCTCTATTCACCTACCTTACTAACAGAACAAGATTCTGCATTTCCCGCTTAGTTCAATTTTCCGCTAAATTTGAAATTCCCGCCATTTTTCATTGGCGGGAATTTCAAATGTTGCCCCCCCTTTTTAAGCTTTCTGGCCTTCCCTTATATAAAAAAACCTAGGTCCCATTTTCAAAATTTGATTAGAGTGGGTTCATCTAGGACCGATCACCTGTCGATAACCGCAAAAATCATGGAAATTGGCCCAGTAGAACACTCAAACGAACTATGACAAAAAATATAAATTTACATTGTTTAAATGGGAAAATTCGCATCTTTACTATGTAATATAAAAAAACCTGGGTCATGTTTTAAAAATATGAAGAAAGTGGGCTCATTTAGAGATAATTGCCCGTCGATAGCCGCAAAAATCATGAAAATTGACCCGGTAGAACGCTGCTGGAACTAAGCGTCACCAGTTATGCAAAATTAGGAGGCCCTGGAGCTTATAGTACAGATAAAAAACGTATTTGAGAAGATCTAAAAACCTCATTTATTTTACAGCAATTATACGGTATAATTTGGGGCTTACAAATAATCTGAATTTATAAGAAGGGGTGAGATAAATCTTAAAGAATCGGTATAGGCGTTTTTATGTCATAAGTCCTAATCTCCGTACAGTGTAAAATTTACTGGTGCTGTACACTTTTTTCAAATTTTACTGGATGAATTTTCAAAAACTGTTTCTACTTGATTTTTTATTTCCTTTTCTGCATTTAGACGAGAGGATATGCGAAAAGTAAAAATACTGAAATTTTTTTGAGTTTTGAAAAAAATTACTGCACTCAAAAAACAAGTACAAGACTTACCGGCCGAGTTATGGATCATGGAGCCATAGAATATCGTTCGTGGAGCCATGCCTATAGGTTCACGACCAATAAAGTATGGCTCAGAAAGCCATAATGTGGACGGTAAGTCACTTTGGTTAGAAATTATGGATCTCCGAGCCATTTTTTATGGGTCTCAGAGTCATACCTTTTTTTGAGTGTGGGTGGGCCCTTCCGACTGATTTATTTTATTCCAAAAATCAATGTTTAAATTTTCAGATAATATGGGAAAGTCATTTATCAGGGCGCTGGATTACGTTAGTCTGTGTGTCACAAAACTATGCATAGCTGATGAAAAAATGATAAGATTTTTTTTTTTAGAGTACTTTTCAATTGAATAGTGTCATGCAAAAACGGGCTAATGCCCATTAATCCTGGCTCGAGATTTGAAAAAATGACTGAATCGGCCTTTCAGACTGATTTATTCTCCGGCATGAGTCGTTACAAATGATTATCTCGTCTGTAGTTCGTGAAAAAAGTAGGGGGAAAAGTAGGTTTTTGAAAATCCATCAGTAAATCCTGAATTGGTGTAGACGTTACGGTTTCGAAGGAGTGGCCCGGCTCTACGTATTGTTACGCTTAAGAGGAATCATAAGTCCCAATTTCCACAGTGTAAGATTTACTGTTCTTGTACACTTTTTTCAAGTTTTACTAGAATTTTTAAAAAATTTATGGTTTGATTCTTTATTTTTTCTGTATTTAGACAAGAGGATATTTAAAAATAGAAAAAACTTAAATTTTCTTAAATTTTTTCAAGACTCAAGAAAATTTCAGTTTTCTTTATTTTTCGAATATCCTCTTGTCTAAATACAGAAAAAATAAAGAATCAAACCATAAATTTTTTAAAAATTCTAGTAAAACTTGAAAAAAGTGTACAAGAACAGTAAATCTTACACTGTGGAAATTGGGACTTATGATTCCTCTTTAGCGTAACAATACGCAGAGCCGGGCCACTCCTTCGAAACCGTAACGTCTACACCAATTCAGGATTTACTGATGGATTTTCAAAAACTTACTTTTCCCCCTACTTTTTTCACGAACTACAGACGAGATAATCATTTGTAAAGACTCATGCAGGAGAATAAATCAGTCTGAAAGGCCGATTCAGTCATTTTTTCAAATCTCGAGCCAGGATTAATGGGCATTAGCCCGTTTTTGCATGACACTATTCAATTGAAAAGTACTCTAAAAAAAAAAAAAAAAAATCTTATCATTTTTTCATCAGCTATGCATAGTTTTGTGACACACAGACTAATGTAATCCAGCGCCCTGATAAATGATTTTCCCATATTATCTGAAAATTTAAACACAAATAAATCAGTCTGAAGGGCCCACCCAGTAATTTTTTTCAAAACTCAAAAAAATTTCATCATTTTTACTTTTCGCATATCCTCTCGTCTAAATGCAGAAAAAGAAATAAAACATCAAGTAAAAAGAGTTTTTAACAATCCACATAGGAAAACTTGAAAAAAGTGTACAGCACCAGTAAATTTTACACTGTACGGAGATTAGGACTTATGACTCTTCGTAGGCCTTCAGTATATTTTCAATGGTTGGGCACAATAATATCCCTAGCATTCGCATCCACGATTCTAACCTTTACCTCTTGTAAATACCTCACCGCATGGCAGTACTCGTCAAGCCCGAGCTTCGGAAGGAGAGCATTTTTTATTTCTTTAACCTCAAGGTCGAGTTCATCCTTTCTCCCTTCAAGGTATGCAAATATTTCTTCTTGATTAAAGTAACACTCACAATCTTTTCCATCAGCCGACACTGTTGCCGTGGTAAACTGTATAGGTGCCCACGTCATTTGTGGACGATTGTGACCAGTGGCGCCTGGAGGAGCAATTCCGGACCAATTGGCAACGAAACCAAACTTATCATTACATTTTTTCTGGCATGATTCAATCGTTAAAGTTTTCTTCAAATCTGGAAAGGAAAAAGGAACATAATGAGGTCTATATCTACCAGAATTACTTGCACAGTTAAGAGAAAACGATGAAGCACTGAAAACATAACCCGAATATACAAATACAAATTAGAAGAGATTAAAACATGGGTATTCATTTGTAAACCATTAAGTTTCGAGCCGTAACCGGCTCATGTTCAGCTGGCAAAAGCACGAAAAATAAATGAGAAATAAATAATGACGACCTGAGCCCAGTCGTCATCGCGTAACCACTGGAATTCGGTATCGAACATCGGAGGCAGACGGCGACGCGGACGACGCGTGAAGTCTGCCGTAAGAGTTTCGTGCTGAATTCCAGTTGAGGCGGCCAAGGCCTAAAATAAAAATGAAAAGAAATAAAAAAAGTTCAGTTTCGAGGGATCAGCAGGCTTTTAATTTACGGAGGGGCCAGAAACCTGCAAAAGCCGAATTGTTTGCAGTTGATTAATAATTTCGAAGTTGTGAATAAATGACATGGAAGTACCTACAGATGCTCGCCATCCAAGCACGAATTCAAACATATGCTGGGATAAAATATTAGTCAGAGACAATGACGCGAAAAGGAGTCAAAGACGGGAATATGTTTTACGTACAAGAAGTTTGATTTCTGTAGCCGGTTAATGATTTCGAGGTTTTAAATAAATGCCACACGTAAGCACCTGAAAGATGGTCGCAAACCAAGCATGAATTCAAAACGTACGCCGGGGTAAAATATTGGTAAGAGGCGACGCGAGAGAATAACGAGGAACGAAGGAAATTTCACGGATAAAGCTTGAATTCTGTAGTTGATTGATAATTTTGAAGTTTTAAATGAATGACACGTAAGCACCTACAAAGATGCTCGCCATTCAAGCATGAATTCAAACATATGCTGGGATAAAATATTAATCAGAGACAATGACGCGAAAAGGTATCGAAGATGGGGAAAAAATTTACCGGGGGTGCCGTACTGAGAAATCTCTCCGACGCCGGACGGGTAGCGCTCAAAAATAGCGCTAAATTTTCCAATTGATCTTTTGTGAAGAGGTGAGCGAAGGAAAATGGTATTCAAAGCGCCACGACTCCATGAGTCCGCGGATCAATGGGAGCTCTGCGTTCAAGCTTTGCAAACGCTAAGGCCTTGTCCACACGAGCGCAGTTCGCGGAACTTATTCCTCGAACTTGCTCAGTTCCCGGAACTTATTCCTTGAAACGAGGCATGCTGTCCACACGGGTTCGTCCGAACTGGAACCGGAACTTCAATAAAACTATACAATTATTGCAAAATAATAGATTATTATGACCGCCAAAGTAACAAAAATAAATGTCAAGATCATATGTAAAGGACGTGAAAAACAAAAACAAGCAAATTCACATCAAAAGAAACATATTTAGAAGCTCGGAGCACGGGGGAAATTCCAGGTTCTGGAGGAATAAGTTTCAGCTCAGCAAAAAACTTGTTCCGGGAACAAGTTCCTCGAACTGAGTTCCGCGAACCGCGTTCGTGTGGACAAGGCCCTAGACTGATTTTATTGGCCCCTGGTATCCTTTCAGTCGCCGCAGTGCATGCGCTAGCGGCGCTCTGAATTGGCAATCGGACACAGCGCTGCCTAGATAGCGAAGAGAGCCGTAAGTGCAAAAATGAAGTTCTGAGAAAACGGGCTCAGAAACTTCCGACCGGAAAATTTTGTTGAAAGAAGCCTCCGTTCTTTGTCAAATTGCCACTAATGCGTCCGGAAGACTCCTAGAAATCGTATGGATGATTAAAAATAGACTGATTTTATTTCCATTACATGAAAAGGGTATTTTTCATTTTCCTGCTAGGTTATTGTTAGGCAAGACAGCCGTAAGTGCTATCTTCTGCATGCTTTCGTGGTTGCGTTTTGAACGCACAACAAACACATTTTCAGGTTAGAAATCGGCAGATGAGGGCGGCATTCCTCTTGAAAGCACTGTTTTCATTGGCTCTCATGCACCTGCGGCTGTCTTGAAAAAAAGTCATTTTTTGTGCAGTTACGGCTTTCTCATACGTCTCGTTTTCATTAAATTAGGATGAATTTTGCTGTATTAGCTGCCTCAGTAATTTCATCTAAAAGCGTTTAGACGAATTTTGAAGAAAACTCGATTTCGAAAATTTTGCACTTACGGCTCTCTTCGCTATCACGGCAGAGCGGTGCGCCAATGGGGGGGGGGCTGTGTTTGAGCGGGGAATGTAAAATTGTTCATTTTTGTTCCCGCTGCTGTGTGAGGATTGCTTGAATTTTATTTTGGTTTTTATTTTTATTTCTAGATAATGGGAACGCTAGTATTTCCGTTTTTGCGGGATTTTGCCGACCCTGTTTGGGAACTTTTCACAACGATCGGCTCTGAATAATTTTTAAGTTGATTTTCTTTGCGGAAGAAATAGAGTAGAGGTTAAGTTCTGAGCTCGAGAGAGCTATACTAGTTTGTTCTTTTTTTCGTTTTTGTTTTCCTTTTTTTTTAAAAAAAAAAATGCCGGTGGCGGCAACACCAGTGATTACATGAAACGACTAGGATCATAGGTCACCACACCCATATTGTGATTGCTTTTTATCGTATACTGAAACGAAAATTGAGCCCTAAACCTAAAAATTATTCATTTTGTCCTTGCACTGGGAAAATAGCACGGATCGCACGCCGGAGCACGTACTTTGGTGGGATCCCTCGCCGGACAGCGGCTCAGCGAGGAGGAAATATTGTGACATCATAGGTTAGGTAGGTTTTGCTCTTGTTTCCCGTGTGAACCACGGCCAGCTTTAGATTGATCAGCACTTTTCGTGAGATGCTATCGCAGTGGCGTGGCGTGCTTTGCGATATATCGATTGTCATGCCATTTAAACATGTGGTATAAAGAATCGATAATGAAGGTGTTCGCTGCGAACACCCTGATAATCGATCCTTTTCCATTAGTTAAATGGCATGACAATCGATATATCGCAAAGCACGCCACGCCACTGTGCTATTGGCGTAAAGGGGCAGGACGCGCGGGACGTGGGAGGCAGCGCGGCGGTGCACGGCGACGCGCGTTTTCCGGAAAATTTCTAAAGTCAGTCGCTCATGTTCGCCGGGATGGGAAATGTCGCGATTCCGTGTAAAGTCCAGGTGCACGTAAAATTCCATCCCTGCGTCCTCAAAGTGTTTTTCGGCGGTGTCGAATTAACCTCCGCGAGACCCCCGGCATAGAGGATCAGCATAGGCGCAGCTAGGGGGGTACTGGGGGGGCTGCCCCCCCCAGAAAAACGGGATCCTCCATTCCTCACCCCTCCCCCGCTCTCTTCACCACGAGAGGTGGTCCCATGCCCCCCCCACCCCCGAGAAATTTCCTAGCTACGCCCCTGAGGATCAGCAACATAGAGTCGTCCGACCGTTGCCCCCGCTAAGTCCCAGAGTGCGGTTCAACCCTTCCGTCGACGTTTTGAGTGAAAATCCGTCAGCAGCCTCCGCGAGACCGCCGGCATAAAGGATCAGCAACATAGAGTCGACCGACCGTTGCCCCCGCCAAGTCCTGGTGTGCTAGCTGTAGTTTTTGTCTCTTTCTGAGTTTCGGTTGTTTTGGAGAGTTTTTGGAAGTTTGGAAGATTTTGAAGAAGATTAAATTGCATTTTTCGGTTTCGTTGTTTTGGAATTTGATCCGTGTACTTTGTCTGTGATTATTAAATTGTGCGGTTAATATACGGTGTTTATTCATCGAGGACTTGAGGCCTCATTATTCCTACCTCAAGTGGTGGAAAAATCGCCCCCCCCCCCATGTTTCTCCTAACAGCCGAGAAACATAAGTTTTTGGCCGAACTTTAGGGTATCGCCTCTGGTCCCTAGAGGTTTAGCCGTTTCAAAACGAGAAACAACTCTCTACAAGGGAGAAAAATACACCGAAAAAAGAGGTGTTGTAGTAACATCCTAGATGTTAAAAAAATGTGCGACTACTCTTGGATGTTGCCATTACCACTCTGGGTGTTAAAGTAATATCCTAGGATGTTACCTTTACATCCTATCATGCTACATTAACTGCCACAGTGTTAATGGCAACATCCAAGAGCTGTCGTCGCACATTTTCTTAACAACCGTAACATCCGGGATGTTACTACAACATCTTTTTTTTTCGGTGTAGGATTGAAAAGTTAACTCCGAAAGTTTTTCACCGTTACAGTGAACCATGAAATTAGAAAGCAAATTTAAAAGAAATAAGGACTTCATAAAAATATTACGTGGAACGTGGTAAAGACATCGGATAAACAACCTATGGCGAAGGCAGGGCCACTTATTGACAGAGTCTGAACTACAAGAAAACACACACGTTTTTTCTTCAAAATCTTCCGGGGAAATCGAATTGTACCCAACGGAAAGTTCAAACGTTAATTCTGTACCGAGAAATTTACGAGTATTTGTTACCCGGATAATATGTAAGTTACACAATGCAAATGACATCATTTGTATTTTTTTCATTTAACCCTTGTTAAATGTAAACACTAAAATCTTGCGTGGGAGTTAATTTTCAGACTTCCCGTCGCATACTCCTTTTTTCGCGTGAAATTTTGAAGAGAAAAATATGACGTGGTGCTTTAATACATACCCTGTCTACAGATACATTTTAAAATTGTTCAACATCACAGGGAACCATGAGAGGGTTTGAAATTGAGTTCCAAAGAATGTATTTATATTGATACAAGAACTGACTATTTGGACGACTTTTATATTAAAAGATATACTCATTGTGACATAAGCCGTGTCATGCATGTGTTCTTATCCTTCTCAGGCCTCTTGTCAAAATGGATATAGTTCGCCTTTTGATTAAAATACGTCCATTTTCAAAAAAATACACCAAATTAATGAGGCAATGTACTATTATAGAAAGCAGAAAAAATATGTTATCTAGGAAAAATATAGTTACTTCTATGTATGCGTCCCACGAGAATCATGTGAGATTGAACTTTTGCTTTGGATTGTTGAGCTCCTGCTTTGGACTGTTGAGCTCTTCCTTCGGACTGATGAGGTTTTGCTTCAGACTGTTCCTTTGCTTCTTCAAAGAGCCTCATTGCTGGTATTTTTTTTCCATGTATCTCCCTAGCTTTTGCCGCGTTGAATGTCTCCTCTCTGTTTCTCCTCTGTGTGCTATCCATATCATATTGATTGGAAATGTAGAAGAGCCCAGTGGTTTTTCCGGTATTTGAGAACCAGAGCTGCCCTTTGCAGTAAAAATGCCTGAAATCTTCAAGAAATGTCGTGTCTAGACCTGTTTCTAAAGCCAGTGGAGTCAAAGCCGGATTCACGATACAGCTGCAAGTTTTACTGTTATCTAAAAGTTTGGGTTCTGTTAAGCGCGTCTTTAAAGAGCCATGCCACATTACGACATAACCAAAAAACTCTGTGCAAAGCTTCTTGCAACTCTCCTTCGTGAACGCCGCCTCTGAAATCAATGAATTGAAATCTAGAAAGTCATAAAAGGATCTGCGAAAATTGTCAAAGGTAATTCACTGAATATATCGGGTGAGGGTAATGCAATGTGTGTTACACGTTATGGCAATGCAGCTAGTTAATAAAATAATGGACTCAAGTTTGCCGAAGAATATGCTGGATTGGGTTTCTCCTAGGAGGAGATGTAGGAGACGCCTGGAAAAAGGATTGCAGCCGGGGGTGTCACACGAATGAGGGAGGGTCAATTGCTTACGGGGAGAGTATGGGAGGATAGGTTATAGTATTGTGATTAGGTGTCGCGGAGCCTCAGAGGATGCTGCAAAAGAGGCTCTGGAGGACCATTCCGTCGAAACTGCATACAGAGTGATCTAAAAGTCCCCTCCATTCCCTCTAAGTTTTTATCTAATTGAGGTAAAAATTTGAAACTTTTAGGATGTTCCTACGTCAAAGAGGCTACTTTTTGGCCCCCATAATTTTTGACGAGGCTACCTTGGGGGGGGGGGGTCAACGGACCCCAATTTTTTTTCAAATGAAAAGACCCCCCCTCCCATTGTGATAGCTCGTTCGAAAGAATATAAAAAGAGAAAACTTTTCGCGCCACGGAGAGGTCAATATCTCAAACCGTTTTAAAATGGCGGCCGGTTAAATTTCGAGAAGCCCGAAAATTGACACCGATTGTTTGTCAATGGATTTGCGCGAAAAAAGGTATCTGCGAGTATTTTAACTGAGATAAACGAATTTGACGTTTGCATCCTTTTCGAGATTTTTTAGAAAAACCAATTTCTAATATGACCGAAAATTGTCACCTCGGTTTTTTGCTGATCGATTTGCCTAAAATTTGGAACTTAAGGGTATTTCAGCATGAGATTAACTTTGAAGTTGAATTTTCTAAAAATAAATTTTCGGCTATTTCGATCTTTACTCGGCCGCGATTTTGAATATTTCGGTTTTATCAAAAACATAACATTTCATTCGTTTCTCTCGGATCAAAATTCATACCGAGTTTCAGGCAAATCCATCGACGAAAAACCGAGGTATTAATTTTTCGCCATTTTTATCTTTAACCAACGGCAATTTTGAAACGGTTTAAGATGTTGACTTCGGGTTTGCGCGAAACATTTTCTTTGTTTTATGCTGTTTGAACAAGTTATCACAAGGGGCGTCCTCTCGTTTGAAAAAAACCAAGTTGGGGTCCGTTGCTCCTCTCCGCCGAAATGGCCCTTTCTGAAAAATTTAGAGGGCCAAAAAGTAGCTGCTTTTGGCCTAGGAATATCCCCCAAGTTCCAAAACTTTACCCCAAGTAAGTGAAAAGTTAGAGGGAGTGGAAGGTACTTCTGGATCACCCTGTATACCCGCGTGTTAACGTCGTTAAAGTTGCACGACTCTTCCTTAACTTGAACAAGTGTCTAGTATCATCCACATTTTGCGTTTCTCTGTAAAAATATTCAGAATAATAAAAGAAAAATTTTAGGAAAATCTCAGAGCACAGCTTGTACAGCTCTCTAACAACCACCCAGTTGAATGTATGCACAATCTTAGCAACGGTGACATAGGTATGTGTTGTTTGATCGGAAAGGCCTTCGTATGCACAATGAATGTTGAAATGCCCTTGACAAATTTGATGCAATCCTAAAGAGAAGTATAAGCTTTTGGAATAGTGGAAATCAACCGGATTGCAAGCTATTTTTGTTCACGCACGAAACGTGAGTTATCGGTAATAACTGATTTTCCATCTAAAGCCACCGCGGAGAGTCGAATATTAATTTCAATAGAGTTATGCTCGAACGACGCCATTATTTAATATTAATTATAATTAAATTAAATAATTTAATAAAATGAAAAAATTTACATAATTATTTAAGGTGATTCGATGGACGCCATATTTTGTGTCAGAACGGCTTGCGATATATCGCATCAATTGGTTCCATTTTTTCAGCTACTCGTCATTTTTCTCCAATTTTGAGATCGCAATTCTGTTGTCAGGAGACTAAAGCACTCGCACCAATTTTAACGAAGAAATTCAACGTAATAAAGGCGTGGTTTTTTTAGAGAGAAAATATCGCATTCGATACTGATATCGAAACTGCACTCGAATGCGATATTTTCTCTCTGAAAAAACCACGCCTTTATTACGTTGAATTTCTTTGTTAAAATTGGTGCCAGTGCTTTAGTCTCCTGACAACAGAATTGCGATCTCAAAATTCGAGAAAAATGACGAGTAGCTGAAAAAATGGAACCAATTGATGCGATACGTCGCATGCCGTTCTGACGCAAAATATGGCGTCCATCGAATCACCTTAAAGAACCAAGGCGTTATGTATCAATTACCTAAACTTGTCATCATTAGAGTTTTCATTTCACATTCACATTTAATAAAAGTCACCAAAGTTCAAGAACAGTACATCTTTCGTAACGCCATGCCACAATGCTTATCTAACGCAGCTTACTTCCAGTGCGCATGTCAATATTCTCTGTTTTTCCCTCGTTTCGCCACAAGATAGCGGCACCTATTCATCAGTATGTTATCAGCACTATCAATCCCTGTTTGGAAATTCAATAGATTCTTATTCCTTTTACAGGCTTTACCAATTTCAAATGTCTTTAGTACACATAGTAATTTATGGTCCTTATTTTTATGCAATATTTTGACATCATCATCGTCAATTGTATGATTCGACTCATTAGCATGCTTAAATGGGTGGATTTCAGCTAATGGGAGAAAATGGTTCTGAAAAAAAGTTGAAAAGTGATTTGGCCATATCAAGCTACTAGCAGTCAACCCGCGCTTCGCGCGGCGATATTGCAGGAAACAAATCGGAATATCTCATAATATATGCGTATAACTTTTAATTCACTGATTTTATTTGGATCGCTGGAAAATTAATGCATACTTCTATAATTTAGGACTGAGTCAGGGAAATATAAGGTTCGTTAAAAAGTAACCATCCCTGGTACCGTGTGACACTATTGTTAACAAAAAGTTTTTGTAACTTGTCAAAGAGGTTTTTGAATGATCCTCGAATAACTTTTGATGAGCTAGATGTAATGGTTGTATCGCAGCTCTTGCACTTCTGTTCGATATTGTCAAGAATCATCTGAATTTTAAAAAAGTGTCCGCTTGTTGGATACCCAATATGCTCATTCATGCATACAAGTAGAAGCGCATGAAAGCTTTAGCAGACATTTTGGAGATGAACCAAGAATTAGATGAAGAATTCATGACTTAAATCACGGCACCTTAATTACGGGATGACCTTAATTACGGCAACTATGTATTGTCCATGAGATGCAGATGGACCCATTTCCTTAGCTCATCAAAAGTTATTCGAAGATCAATTTTATCAGCCACCCGTACGACCCACGTTTCTAGTGACCCGTACACTGAAAAAAAGTTCTGTTGTCACAAACCAGAATTTCTGGTTGTATTTCGCAACCAGATTTTCCGGTTGATTTAACCAGAATTACATTTGACTCAACTAGAATTTGGTGGAGTCAACCAGACGTCTGGTTGAGTCAACTGTAATTCTGGTTGAATCATCCGGAAAATCTGGTTGCGAAATACAACCAGAAATTCTGGTTTGTTACAACAGAACTTTTTTTCAGTGTACGTGCTTCGCACGTATGAAACATACAATCAGAGAAAACAGAATTCATCTCACAATAATCAATAATTAGTAGAACATGAATCGTTTCGATGTATAATACCACATTATAATGCGGCGTTACTATTGTAATTAATTATAATGTATTAGGGGCATTATAAGTCTTTATTACCACGTCGGAATGAAATGTTGTAGAATGAATTGAAAAGCATGTTGGCAAAATTTATTGAGAAAACCACTATTAAAACGACAACTACAGTTAATTTGAGTCCCACTGGAATTAATAGTTAAAAAATCCATGATTACACAACAAACCCACTATGAAAGCAACAACTAAAGTTCAGAAATAGTTAGGAAATCCATGATTACACTAGAAAACCACTATTAAAACGACAACTACAGTTAAATTGAGTTCCACTGGAATTAATAGTTAAAAAATCCATGATTACACAAGAAACCCACTATGAAAGCAACAACTAAAGTTCAGATAATGGAAAATAACTGACCCAAAACATTCAAAAAGATGTTATTTTCATCAGCTGCTCAGTTTAAAAAAAAAAAAAAACAAAGTAAAAACGTTCGTGGGGAGGGGGGAAGGCGAATAAATATACGAGCAGTAAGCGTAGAAGAATAACTATGGAAACATAAGAAAGCTCAAAAACTTTCATCAGCTGATAATCGGATGAAACATAGAAAGGCCCGCAGTGTTGCCGTTCATAGCATAGAACAGCGGAAATCAAGGGCCAATTACGCGCGCAGCTAAAGGTATCCGACGGCCACCCGGCAACGGCCGCGTCAGGAAATATACCCGCACTGCTACGTCTCTCTTTCCAACACACACGGGCTTACGGGAATATCCGCGACTTCCGACCGCGGTTACTCGCGAACGGACGGGCGGATCGCGAAAAGAAAGCTTATTGCACCCCTCGGGGACAGTACCCGTCGAACGGCTAAGTTCGCACCGATTCCGACCGGTGGGAGCAGGGAGGCGAGCGTGATGGATCAATGTATGATCAATGTATTTCCCTTTTATTAGTTAGAAGATAGACTACTTTTCTGTTATCTTAGAGCTCCATACTATAGGATTTAATGACGTGCATCGCAATATCTTTACGATTATTTTTCTTTACCAAGCCTGACATGTCAGTTTGGTTTGGACATGTCAGGCTTGGTGACATCACCAAACTGACATTTTGCTGTTATTCATTTTTCCTGCCAATTTACAGTAACAAAATCAAACCAATCATTGAGGTTAGGTCGAGAGGCCACCTGTAGATGTAAGAATAAAATATTTGCTCACATATTCCTTGCATATTACACCAAAAGTTTTGATGGAAAACAGCGTCACCAAACTGACACTGAATAAGTGAGACACTCCAAAAACCATAGAAAAAACTGAAATTATGCTGAAATTGGAAGAAATATGTGGACTCATCAAGTGCATGTCTGTTCGCTCTCCTTTTCCGCAATCAGTCATGCCTAAATCCGCACACAAAGCGCTATCTCTTGAGTGGCCACAAACTAAAACGCATAGCGTCACCTAAAATAATATTGAGTTACACGCTTCAAGTCTCAAACTACATTGAATAATATAGTTTTCTGGTGTTTCAATGCATATTATATCAAACAATATACATTGAAGACTTAAAAAAAATTAGACAAAGCTCGCAAAAGGTCCTGGTTTATTTATATAACGATTTGGAACATTGATTACCTCCGAGTTACACGTCATAAAACTGACATTTTTACTGTTTAGCACGTTGAAAAAAAGGTTTAGAATTATTCAAATCTCCTGAGGAATTTTTTCGTGGTTGGTGCGACCTACTTCTATGCAAAAAATCAAAGATCGAGAAAAAATATTATAATTGAAAGTTTTGAGCAACCAGTTACACGTCTTTCCCATATTTTTTCCCATTAGCTGAAATCCACCCAAATGCATTAGATGTGGCACTTCTAGCGTCCTTTTTATAGTATTGACATGCTTGCCTTTTACTTTTCTATGGTATGTAGCATCACAATTTGTGCAGTTAATTTTGGAAATCCCTTAACTGTTCCATAAAAATAGGGACCGTATATTACTACGTGTACTAGACAAATTTGAAATTGCTCAAGCCAGCAGAAAGGAATGAGGACCTATCAAATGTCCAAACAGGAATTGATAGTGCTGATAACATACTGTATTATGAAAGATCCTCCTGGGAGGAGACGTAGGGGACGCCCAGTGAGAGGTTGGCGACAGGGAGTGTTAAGTGAGATGAGGGAGTGTCAACTCCCTGATGACTTGTGGGAAGACCGAGCTTTGTGGCGATTAGGCGTCGTAAAGCGCCAGAGAGCGCTGTAAAAGCGACTCATATATGTATTTATGTATATTATGAAAGATGCATTGTTGTTGAACTATTGTGAATTTTATTAGATGTGGATGTGAAACGATCATTAATGTCTGTGTCACGAAATCCCTGATAATCGATATTTTCTATAATTTTAAATGGCAAATCAATCGATTATCGCAGAGCACGCCTGCGCCTCGCCTATGGTCTTTTTTGATGTCAGCGCAGTCCGTCGGGCGCCCTCTTTTGATTTTGCTTTGAGGAGCATTCCACCTGGTGAGGAGCTAGCTGGACAACAAGCGTTCGTTGCGAGCAATATTGTGGCGTCACAGTCTTATTTGGATGTCCAGTTGCTAAAGCGTAGAGAAATATTGCTCCGAAAGTTTTGGCTTTTCATCAAATTCTTGGAAAACCTGTGTCCAGATACATATAACTTGGACGTATTTCTGTCAAACGGAACTAAGCGCCAAATTGAGTTCCTTTTGAGGAATTTAGAATGCCGGGCAGCGAGTTCTATCAAACGGAACTAAGCGCCATGGAAAAGCATTGCGAGTGACGGAATGAGCCCGACGACGCCCGGTTCCGCCGCCAATCCAAGCCCCTTAGGCCCCCTCTACCTTCCTCCCCCTATGGCGCTTAGTTCCGTTTGACAGAAATATGTCCACTTGGCATCCTTACAATGAGAATTTCAACATTAAATCCTTTGTAATAAAGAACTCCATTGGAACCATTTCTGAACATACTGTTGATCCTAATAATCTGCAGATCGATGAAATGGAGAGATGTAGTTCGTGAACATAGGCTCCGATCAAAGATCACATTTCGCTCGTCAAAAATAAAAACAAATGTACAACAACAACAGGATATATGCAGCCAAATTTTTAAAATCGGTTGCAACCCTTTTGGGCGCTTCTGGGTACCAGATGCGCCCTTTCCAGCCGTTCGACTCCCCCGATGTAACATGTACTATACTACATACCGTTTTGCCTTATGGGTAATGACGCCATTCTGGTGCACCCGGGAAAATTTGATTTTCTTCTGCATCTGGTATTCGTAAAAGTTTTCGTAAAATGTTTTGCTTTTAAGCATAACAATCTCGCACGGACGTATTACCTGGTTAAACTATTTTGGGGCTTCGTTATGCTTAAATGCCTCATATTCGAGGTTGTAGTTTCAGATTGATTCGAAAAAATCACGAACAGTCACGTGATCTCTTCATTTTAGTGACGTATTACTGTGCTATTTTGTGATTGGTTCATTTTCTCGGCGCAGCATCGTCAAGCGTCAGCTGTTTGCGGCTCTGGGTTGAAGGTTTAAGGTTATGTCAGAGAGAATAGAAAGTTAGAGGCCCGACTCGATGCTAGGTAATTGAAACAGATGCGCTCGCAGCGCGCTCGCTGGCAACGTACGCAACTACTATTTTCTATTGTTATCCAGAGACTAGCGGCGGGTATGTTGCTGCCGGACCACCTTCACGTAGGCAATTTGTTATACATCGTCCGTCCGCAATACTCTCGCTTGGCCGTATGAAAACGTTCCTCGCATGCGCAGTGTTAAAGAAGCGCCCTCCAACGCTTTGGCGTTGGAACTGCTTGTTTAACTTTATAGAGATTTGAATATCAATAAACGGGGCCCCTTCAATTAGTATATTGGCAATTTATTGACGGTGAAACTCCCGACGCACGTATCTTAGTTTCCGACATTGCCAACATTCTATCATACTTCAATTTCATTTTCGGAAAGCTACTCAACCCCAATTGTTAAAACGTCCGTGATTTGTTTACTCTGTGCCGGGAAAATGTCTGTCATTGATGGATTGCTCAAGTCAATTTGATGACCTTGAAATGGACGTATTTCTGCCAAACGGAACTATGTGCATCATGACGTGCGCCCCGTCATGCATATATTCTTATGGGTCTCAGGGTTCATATCTTAATGCACATAGTTCCGTTTGATAAAAATACGTCCAAATGGAGTTACGTTTTTTCGTTTGATAAACAACGAAATTCCTACTGACGTTTGCCTAAAAATGAAGCTGATTATAAAATGAGAAATAATTACCATGTTCCTTTCTGCTTGGGAACACTCCCACAATAATTTCTCCTTCTTCTTCCATCTCGATCTCAGCAACACTTTCACCTTTCTTAGAAGGATCCTCTGAAGATGCTTCCATTCTTTTGTTTTTTTCCCTTTCTGCCCGAGCCTTCCGTTCCTCATCTGGTGAGATCTCAGCAGCATCTTTACCTTTCCTAGAACGATCCTTCGAAGATCCTTCAACTTTCTTGTTTTTCTCTCTTTCTAACCTTTTTAACTGAGCCTTTCGTTCGTGCTCTTCACGTATTATCCGCTGCACAACAAGTGGTGAAACAACAGCTGCACCCGATATTGATTTTAATCGAGAAAACTTCTTTTTTTCCTCCGGAGATTTCCGCTCCTTCGATTCCACCTCATACGGGATATCCACAGGTACCTCTTCCCCATACAGCCAGAGCCTCGCGGAACAGAACGATTGCCTCGCTAAACTCAGGAAGTCAGTGAGATACCTATCGCCTAGTTTTACTCGTTCAAGTAAACCATGTATTTGCTCGGCATTCATTCTACAGTTACAACTTACTGCTTTCGTTTTTTTTATCCTTTACTATAATAGGAAGAGCCAATGGAGCACGGTTATCATCATTCGGCAAATACATCTCGCCAAAGTGGGTTTTGCATTTTTCTCCGCACTCTTCAAACGTGATAGAATGGCCACCTACAAAATGAAGAAAAAATTACTGTTATACCCATTGGTAAATTTTGATTTTAAAAGGTGTAAACAATTTGAAAAATGTACCAAACAACCGAATGAACTGCTAATTGGGAACCCTTAAAAACATTTTCCTGTCAAAACCGTATTATTTCATTTGACAGAAAACTCATGTAAGCTTTACCACGCTCGGAGAACTCAACTTTAAAAGCTTCTTTCCCGCCAAAACTTTTTAGCCAATGAGCGTCTTGCGCTGTGAGTGCAATGTTCAAAGAGCCTTGTGACTCATTATACCATGTGCTAACCGTGGCCCACTTAAACCACTGCAGTTAGGTATCTCCCGATATCGCTTTGTGTGTCCGGTTTCGAGCAATAAGACAATAAAAGACGTCACCTTATCTCTCACTCCCGATTAACCATTCACCATGACGCCAGGATCCCCCAAATTTTCACAAAAATCGATTTCCATCTATTTAGGGAGTGTTCCCTTACTCGCCGTTAAAATACAAATAAAAAAAGACCCCATTTGTAAAAATCGGCCGAATAGAAAAGAATTTTTTTTCCAAAGAAAATATTTACACTTTTCTTCAAAAATAAGTGTTTTATCGGGGGAAATTTGACAACAATGCATTTATAGTAGACATCATTCTACTCTAAAAAAAAATTAACATAAAATTACGCTAGCATGGATTTGACTAATCTGTTCAGTTGAACTCTAACAATAAGGTAAGAAATAAGTCATAAGTGCAGCGATTTATGTTGTTTCAGAGGATGACTTGAATTGATTTCTAAATTGGTTTACGAGCCATCCCTCAACCTCATCAACAAAAACTCACCTTCCCACCCAAAAAGAGAGCTTGGATTAATATTTGCAAAATGCATTATCATTTATCCTGTGCTGACAACCATCTATAAATGCTAAACGGTAACTGCATGAAAAGCTCTTCGGAGTGCTAAATCTAAATTAAAGTTCTCCATCATTGACACCTGTTTCACCTTGATACTTACGAGTAGAGCGATGGACAATTAGCCACCCTATCCATTCTACCCCAACCTTAGATATGACTGAAAAAATATCTCGACCGAATACCGAATACTTTCTCAGTCTCAGTTACGATTCTTTTCAAACATTTGTAAACGTCTCTCAGAGGAAAGTTTCTTGAGAATGAACGTAATTTTGATGAAAATTCTGTGGTGTCGCATTAAGACAGAAATGAGTGAAAAAAAAAAGGAAAAGGGAAAAAAAGGGAAGGGGAACAAGTCTACTAACCTTCTCCCTTAAAAACCCCGAAGACAATCTGTTCCTCTGGAGATAATGCTGGACTCTTTCCTTTGTCCAATCGTTTGTAACCTTCTTCTTTACTCTTGAGAACCTCTCCTATCTTATGTAGTCCCGCTGTGGAAAAAAGGGAGACATTTACTTATAAATCCAAATATTTCACAAAAATAGACAAGAGAAATGACAGGTACTCCTTCGATCCATGAGTTGCAGGATGGGTAGCAGACCAAAGGTTGCAAGCACTTTAAGTACTTGGGGGTAGTGCGGTTGACCCAGAATTGAAGGACGGATCAAGCTATCAGAGAGAGGAACACCTTAGCGAGGAAGGCTATAGCGATGTTAAATGGAATCCTCTGCGCATCAGCGGATTTCCAAAGAAAACAAGAGGAGGATATACAAGGCTGTGGTTAAAAGTATATTAACATATGGATGTGAAGTTTGGCAGCTGAAGAAACGGACACAGGATATGCTAAGAGCAACGGAGATGGATTTCTGGAGGAGGTCGGCAGGAATTTCTAGGAGAGATCGGGTCCGTAATGAGAGACTACGTCGTATTATGAAAGTTGAAAATGACATCGTGTTCGACGTCATGACCAAGCAGCTTGTCTGGTACAGTCATGTCAATAGGATGACGGACGAAAGGCTGCCGAAGAAGTTGCTTGATTGGGTTCCTCCCGGGAGGAGACGAAGGGGACGCCCAGTGAAAGGGTGGCGACAGGGGGTTTTGGAAGAAATGAGGATTTGCCAACTCCCGAAGGGCTAGGAGGATAGGGGACTTTGGCGGCTAGGTGTCGCAGAGCGCTAGAGAGCGCCGTAATAGCGGCTTTATACATTATGTAGAATTTTCCCCGGAAATAGACAAGGAGTTCCAACTTTGGACACTGAATAATAGCCGGTTTTTCAATATGATTCAGGATGCCCTCAAATCTCTCAGCGTCTGTCAACGACTTGGAGGTTTCAAAATAAAATTAAAAAAATCGAAAAATCTTAAAAAGGCGGAAATACATACATACATACATACACCCCTACATATAGCTCGCCGAACAGTTCAATCTAGCAGAGCCTCAAGTTGGAAAACTTTTGTCCAGTCTATAAATTCACATACAACTTGTGGTCAAGTGTGGTCTCAAATTAAAAAACTCACTGGATCACCTGACCAGACCCATATTCCATCTCTAGAATCTAAAGCGGGAGAATTTCTGACGGACCCACAGCAAACAGCTGAGGAACTTGCCGAACATTTTAGCTCAGTAAGTAGTGATATTCACTATTCTGAAAAATTCTACCAACATAAAATTGAGGCAGAGCAGGAAAAATTAGATTTCTCTTCAGACAATCAAGAACCTTACAATCAGAAATTTTCTTCAAAGGAACTAAATAAAGCTATCTGTGCTTTGAAGAGCTCAGCGCCTGGACCAGATGAGATACATAATCTTATGATAAAAAATCTCCCTTCCCATTGCAAAGAATATCTTTTAAAAATCTTCAATCTCTTTTGGAGCAATGGCTTGAATCAACTATTATTCCGACTGCAAAACCTGGAAAAGATAAGACCAAACCTTCCAGCTATAGGCCAATTTCGCTTACCTCCACCCTTTGTAAACTGTATGAATCTATGATTAATAAGAGGCTCATCTACACTCTTAATAAAAAATCTGCTTGGAATAACATCCAGTCTGGAGCTCGGAAAAATCGGTCTACTTAAGATCACCTCATTAAAATTCAAAGTACTATTCAGGAAGGTTTTCTTAAAATGTTAGATACTTACGCCATTTTCTTTGACATAGAGAAAGCGTATGATACCACTTGGCGATACAACATCCTCAAAAATCTACATAAATGGGGTTTCCGAGGCCACCTTCCTTTTATGATCACAAACTTCTTGAAACGTAGACTTTTTAGAGTAAGAATAGGAAATATCTATTCTGAAATTCACGAATCATTGAATGGAATTCCTCAGGGAGGTGTTTTGCTGTTTTGAGTTGCACGCTTTTTGCCATTGCAATTGACTCAATCTTAGAATGCATTCCAAAGTCAGTCGAAACATCTCTATTCATGGACGATTTCTGTATTTACTTCAATGTTAAAAACCCTAGAATATCCACAAAACTCTTCCGAATCTGTGTACAAAAACTTCAAGATTGGGCAGACAAAACAGGTTTCAGCTTTTCACCTCAGAAGACAGTTGGAATGATCTTCAGCAGGAAGAAAAAGCTACCAAAACCCCCGAAAATTTTTCTCTCTGGTAATCAAATCTTTTTCAAGACAACAGTTACGTACTTAGGACTAATTTTTGATCGAAAAATGACTTGGGCTGACCACATTTCAAATCTTGTGGCTAAATGTAAACGAAGAATGAACATATTAAAGTACCTTTCAAATACAACCTGGGGAAGCGATAGAATCACTCTTCTCACCTTATATAGAAGCCTTATCAGATCAACCATAGATTATGGATGTTTCATCTACCAGAGTGCAGCGGATTTTCATTTGAGAAAATTAGCCTCTATTCACACTTCATCACTTCGCATAGTTCTGGGGGCATTTAGAACAAGCCCCTCTCTGTCCATTTGCGCAGAAGCAGGGGAACCACCTCTCTATTGGAGACGCCAAAGACTACTTGCAGGCTATATCGCCAAGGTTATGAGTCTCCCTAATCATCCCACTTATTCTTCTCTTCTTTTCAAACAATTAGAGGATACGGCCACTGTTAAAACCATTTCAAAATTTGTCACTACAATGCTTGCAAGACAGAAAATGGTGCCGGCTGTGCTTTTGTTGAACTCGAAGAAAATGTGTCCTTTTTAAAAATTCTCTCTCCTTTGTCTTCTGTTCTTACAACAGAACTCTATGCAATTCTGGAAGCCGTTAAGTACACTAAAACGATAACTTTCTCGCAACCTCAAAAATTTTTGCTAATGTCCGACTCCCTCTCTGGTCTTACAGCCATAGAAAATCAAGGAGATAACCCTCTTCTCTTTGACATTTCTGCTCAACTTCAAAATTCACCACATAACATCATTATGGCTTGGATCCCGGGTCATTCGGGAATCATCGGTAATGAAACAGCGGATATTATTGCCAAATCTTGTTGTAATCCAAATAGTCCCCCTCTAAACACATATTTCGTTCCTCCACAAGATTTGAAAAAAGCGCTCCAGTCTCACATCAATGATTCCTGGGAATACTACTGGATGAACAATGACAAAAACTTACTTCAAAGAAGACCTAAGCCATATGATAACACCTCCTTCAACAAACAAGTCCAAATTGCGAGACTGCGAATCGGCCATACTTTTTTCTCTCATTCTCATTTAATCTCAAAATCTCCAGTTCCTTTATGCTCTCTTTGTCAACACTCCCCCCTTACAATCGATCATATTTTACTTTCTTGCCCTAAAACCTATGCCACACGCATCAAAATTCGAAATTCCCTCCCTCATAACGTCCACCCTTTATGTTCAGATAATCCAATAGTAGTAACAAAAATTTTAAAACTCTTCAAGAAATTAAATTTAAAAATTTAAAATGCCTAGTCCCCGACGTAAATAGCCTTGATGCTGATCGTCGTTAACTAAATCTAACTAACTAACTAACTAACTATACATTTATACACATAAATTTGAATGGCATATATTTTCGTGATCTACGACCCGTGATCGGTGCTCTTCACAAGGTCTCGGGTCTGGGTCCGATATCATGGGAGAATGCAATAGTGTATATTCTTCGGAAAATACACTAAAAATGATTGGAAGTGACTTTAAAATACGTTAAAAACACCTGAATGGCACCGTTGCTGAGCGCTGAGCCGATAGGAAGCCCTTTTGGCATGGGAACGGAGTTCCCCTGTCTTTACAATCGTTCCGTTGCTATTGCTATGTGATTCCCTATGCCTCTGCGACCTTGAGCGTTTCGCCCAGTCTTCGATTTTTGGTTAATTTTCCGATGTATCAAAAACCGTTGTATTTTTTAGCCAATCATGTCTCTACGTCAAGTTGTGTTGATTTCTAAAATTCGCTTTCAGCGAGTTTTTTTCCACCTTGAGATGTCGTGTCTGACTGGTAAATCTGCGCAGAACCACGAAGTTCCGATTTTGGGCAAATTCTTTTTTTTGGGAGGTTCCGATTGGTTATTTTTCGCCATCAGTTTTCTGTTCGTTGGTGCAAAAGATCGCCTACCTCGTTGCTCTTGAGAAGCCGCTATTATCCCACCTCAAATTTTAAACATAGATATAAAGAAATAATAACCATCGTACAAGGTGGAAAATTGTTCTGGAGGACCCGTTACGGATATATGAGCCAAAATCAGAACTCGATTGATGGATTTAATCCATGAATACAGAAATATTGCCTCAGTTTACTGCCGCGATAGCAAATGCATGCTGAGATGAACCTTGTGACACATGAAAGCATAGGCAAACAATGTCTCACAGAGAAATGCGCTTAATCCGTTGTCTCTTATCACAGCAGTCGCCGGATGTCAAGGACGTTTTTTGTGAAGCCCCGCTCAGCGTCCGAGATCACTTAACTGCGCTCTTTTCTCTTCATACTCTGGCGAGTTGAGATGGCTCGGTTGTCTATGACACCACTGTGACGCTAGAATCGCGTCCCTTTTCGTGCGAGCGGGGGTTCGAATCTCGTAGGGGACAGTTAATTTTTACTGGTTGTATTGAATTTTTTAGACCAATCATCGAACAATAATTAATACTTGGCAACTTAGGAAGCACATAGGTCCCTTATGATGCGTATTCGGGCATATGTGTAGAGTAAAAATATCATACGTAGGGTGTCCCAAAAGTACCGGGACTGGTTCTGTAACTTCAAAAGTAAGATAGACACAGACATGATTTTGGTCTCATTTTAAAGATCAACTCAATACCTATCGATTAAAACCAAGATCAGCTCAATCGAATAAAAATTGACCGAGTTATGACAATTTGAAATTAGTGAGGAAAGTTTACCCCTACGGTTTTTAGGAAGATTTTTCCCTTACCAGAATTCAAAAAGTTAATATTCGTATCCACTTTCCTCCGAATCTTCCATAACTTCCTTTTGCTTTTCAAAGTACCGTCCATCAAACCGGATGCACTTTTTCATGCGCTCTTGCCACTTATCCAACATTGTTTTTCTGAATTCTTCCTCTGGGATGGAGTTGAAGAAGTTTTGAATTGCATTCTGGATTTCGGTCTTCGATACGAATCTTCGTCCGCGAAACTCCTTTTTAAGCGTAGGAAACATCCAAAAATCACATGGAGCCAAGTCAGGGCTATAAGGGGGATGAGGGATTGTTTCAACTCCATTTTTACTCATAAATTCACGTGTTAAGCTCGATGTGTGAGGCCGCGCATTGTCTTGATGGAGTATCCACGAAGCTTTCAAGTCCGACCGTTTCCGGGAAATGTGCATTCTCAACTCCTTTAGTACTTTGCAATAATACGCACTGTCAACTGTTGTGTTTGATGGTACAAAATGTTGATAAATGACACCTCGAAAATAAAAAAACACAATAAGCATCACTTTATCGGCCGACTTTTCGATTTACGGCGATGAAGAATCTTCCTTAAAAACCGTAGGCGTAAACTTTCCTCGCTGATTTCAAATTGCCATAACTCGGTCAATTTTTATCCGATTGAGCTGATCTTGGTTTTAATCGATAGGTATTGAGTTGATCTTTAAAATGAAATCAAGATCATGTCTGTATCTATCTTACTTTCGAAGTTACAGAACAAGTCCCGGTGCTTTTGGGACACCTTATGTATACTTTACGCCGAAAAAGCGAACCTGAAACTTAAATGCGTTGACTTCCGAAAACCATATATAATCCAACGAAAATAAATAATTGGTACATAACAGCTTTCTTGTATGCAAAGAAAATAATTAAAAATGTTAAAAAAGAGATGTCAACACAAAATTACATAGCCCTTTCAATTCAGAAGATACTACAAACGAACTGTACCTTAACATGTTTATATCCCAGAAGCTAACGTTCTCATGACGAATATTGCTATCGCTAGCGATTGCAAAATCCAACTTGTTTGATTTGGACTGCATCTTGCAATTTGGAACTATAGATTCTGGCTCTCCTGGAGAAAAACTTATGTGCATAGAGAGACTAATGACACATACGTTGTTTTTAAACCGGGCTAGAATTTATAGTTCCAAATTGCAAAATGTAGTCCATTTCAATCTACCTCTTGAACGCTAGTATACTAGTGGCCATGCGTTCAAATGGCGCGCCAGCTGAACAACAAGATGGTGGAGAGGTGACTATCATACTTAGAATACATTAATAGAAGAAATCAAGGAAACAACGGAAATACACACTAATATACATAAAAATATACGGGATGCTTGATGTCTCACGAGACCAGATCCTCCCGTGTATTTTCACGTATCTTAGAATTGTTTCCTTCTACTATTTCCGTTTTGGGCTGCCTGTGTACCTGTGTCATTGTTCTGAATAGATCAATCTGGGAAACCTTTACTCGATGCTTCTGATGTCAAAGCACGGAGCTCGATAATTGTTTTTCGATTTTTTTATTTTTTAGCGGTAGTGTAGTTTTTTTTTTTTTTTTTTTTTTTTTTTTTTTTTTNTTTTTTTTTTTTTTTTGAGAGCTTGCGCACTCTAGGTATAGTTCATTGGCCTTAGTCGTGTAGACAAACAGCCACCGCTAAATGATGGGAAGATTACAACATCAGTAGAAACGGAAGTACAAAGGAAGAAACGAAGGAAGAAACGAAGAGAAACATCCATGCCACTCCACGGTGACAAGATCTGAGACCATCAAATCTTGCCACATAGGCCGGGATTCGAACCCGGGATATCTAGGTCTGTGATCAGTTGCGCTAACCACTGGACCAACCGATGTCGGCAGTGTAGTTTTCTTTAAATTGCGATACTTGAAAACTTGGTGAGGCGAGTTCTTTCACTCAACGTTGCTCATCCTCCGCGACGAACTTAAAAATACTCCTGCACAGAAAACAGCTGAGCGCTTCTCTAACACGAACGTATTGACTAACTAAATGCTGAGGTTTGATGCTACGTGACGGACCAAAATACGCTTCACGTTTTGATGCCGGAGCCTCGGCTCTCGGTCCGATGCGGCATCAATTTTCGGTCCCGCGACCCAGCCGCATTACCGACGGGGCTGTCCCAGAAGACTGCCGGAGTGGTAAGTTTCCAAAAAATGTCCAAAAGCGCAATCCCCAAAAGCGCAAATCCTCCTTTTGCGCTTATGGGGTGGTAGAAGTCGGGAGTCGTTTGCGCAAGTAGGTGCTCTTCAAAGCGAATTAATCAATGCTAGAAATCTGATTGCAATGTGACAACGTTGCATGGAACTCCGTTATTTTTTTCCGTTCCGTCCTTAATTTGAGTATTTGCGCTTTTGGGGTGACTCTCTCAACTTCCCGTTTGCGCTTTTGGTCTACGCGTTTGCGCTTTTGGGGTTTGCGCTCTTGGGGTTTGCGTTTTTGGGGTTTGCGCTTTTGGGGTTTGCGCTCTTGGGGTTTGCGTTTTTGGGGTTTGCGCTTTTGGACATTTGCGCTTTTGGGCGGTGGCCGCCGGAGTAAGCGACCCTTGGACTTGGCGATGAACTCGCGGAACACCTTTTGTCTACGTTTCCCATCGGCGCGGCGGCCCACGCCTCGCCGGGAAGTTCCAAGAAGTGGACGCCGAGGAAGGGTTGAAAACACAGCGCGGTGCGATTACCCGTCCGGCAGCCCGGCCTGGGGCGCTAGCGTCCGACGTGTGTGAACGAGGCTGCTTCAATTTTGATGCTGGGTATCCAGCATCAAAATTGATGCGGCATCATAAAGCCATGCCAGGTGTCAACTTCGCAAGGTTAAGCCGCCTCGCGGGCAAATGCGATTCCTCGGCGCACTGTCCGATGCAGCATCAAGTCCCGCTTTGGATACCTGTCTTGCACGACAATTCCGCTCCGTTTATAATGCTACCTCAAACCTCAGCTCTAAATTCCTGGTTGGGCCGCAAAGCGGTATGTTACAATTTTCGGTTGCTCACCTCCGAGTCCTGTTGTCGTTGAGGTCGACGAGTGTTTCGGAGGTTTTCCTCCTGTTGTAATTGCTGTCTTCCCAGTTGACAATAAAGGTCTTTTTTCCGGAGAGACACTTCCCTTTCTTGGTGATTTGAGACCAGACTCTATTTCAGGTTTCGGCATTGCGTGACTTATTTCATGTTCCGTCATTGCGTAACTCCTTTGGAGTGAGACTGTCAAAAAGATAAAACAAGTATGAATTTCTACTTTGCCCTCCGAGTTTGTTGGGTTGACTCCGCTTGGGGAGCCTCGCAGATTGCCATTGGCGGAACCAGCAAGTTGGCAACGTTGTCTTTTCTCCATTTAAACACATGGAAATGTATCGATTCTTGGAGAGGCCAGGTGCTCAGACAGAATCGATTATTTAATGTAGGTTTGAATGGAGGAAATCCGGTGTTGCCAAATTGCTGGATACGCTTCTGCAGATTGCCATATATAGTATGGAAGAGGGACCACCGACTCCAGAGTTGCCAATACCGAAGTCGGAAGCTGTTCCTCTCTCATGCGCTGGCGCTTTTCCATTGGTGGCATAGCCACACCCGCTAAAAGACTCCAAAGGCCGCTAGCGAAGCATTTGGAAGGCTTAGTCCAAATACAGCAGAATGCCTAATGGACCACTAGACAAGGTGCGAATTTAAGCAATCTAATACACATGTTTTAACCAGAATTCACGTAGAACACGATTCGCGCAAGGAAAATTACTGAAATAAACTCCGAACGAAATACTAACGTTTTTATTTCATATTGGTTACGAGGAATTTGAACTGCCCGCTCACAAGAAACTCAAAGCTACGTGAGTCAAATCGCGCACCACATTGGTTTCAGCAAGCTTCTCAATCGAACAATTTCATTTCCCTTTCATGTGTTGTGCAAACTTGAAGCGATTTGCTATAGCTGATCCAAAGCGTCAAGATTGAGGTTGCCGGATTTTTATGTCGCAGAGACTGTCATGATAACGTTTAGCGCGCAATGTGAATAACGTAGAGCATTGAGTTTTCATGAGCGGGTGGTTTGAATTCACGCATCAAGAATCATTGAATATCTTGATAAGGTGTTGATTTCAGCAATTTTCGTTGTACACATCGTGTTCTCCGTGAAATTTTGGCTCAGAAAGATTCATCAGAAAGTTAAAATTCGTACCTTGTCTAATGGATCATTTTTGAATATAGAGTAGGTGCGGCAAAAAATGGGGGGAAAAACCCCGAAAAAAAAACAACGATTGTCTAAGGTGGGAGGTCAGCGATGCAGAGTCGATTCGAGAGTTTCCGGCCTACGGGCGGGGGGGGGGGGNTTATTTGAAATTTTGGACCTTGACAAAGGCTTTTGATAATCTTGGCTACTCAAACGTGAGAATAAATGGGTATATTTTTATCAAATATTTCTGCCAGAGTGGTGAAAAATACCTTTCCTCAGCGATACCTAGATTATCAGGTTGGTGTCAAATGATTCAGACAGCTTTGACTGGTCTAATTGGAAAAAAATCATAATAATACGTGATATAAATTTTTAAGAGCACCGTTTAACGCATAATGCCTCAAGCGCGAGGCGCTTTTTTTTAAACAAAATGTATATATATTTTTTTAAAATTGAAGTACGGAGTTTTTGAAATTTTTGGGAATAATTAATTTTGGTTCACGGATTTTAATGAAAATCAATCTATGTTGAAGATTATGAAAAAATCGAGTCCTACATTCTTTTTTTCAGTATCTTGACTTTTCCAACTTTAAAAAAGAAACACTGGTTACAAATTCGTGTCATCATGCCACAGAGGAACATGCAGCTTTATCGCTTGTCACGAATTCGTAACATCATGCCATGGCGGAATGTTGCCGCTGCGATCAGAGATGCAAAATGAACCTTCACAGAGGGACTTAAAATTCATTTTGCTGAAAATTCAATTTTTTTATTTTTATATAATGAGCAGCTGCTCGCTGAAAAATTCGCGTGAATCTCGATTTTTAAAAAATTAAAGAGCACTTTGTTGCTAATTCGTAACGCTATGCCGAAGAAGGATACGATTATGGAAGTTTTGATTAGTCAAATCAAATTGGGGGGGGGGGGATTGGGTCCTACTATCAATTTTTCTCTTAGAAAACAGAAAAATTGCTTGAATCTTTATCATGAAAATGTGCATATTTGTCAAATTGGAGTATATCTGGGTATTTTTTTCAATTGCATCCATATGCTAAACAATGTAAACATTATTGCGGGAAAAAACCTGCAAAAATAGATGCATTTTGAGGAATGGATATTATTTGTGTTGACATTTGACAAAATGATGTGACCTCGCTCTTGATACCCCCACCGCACAGTGGATCGAGTCAATATAGAAGAGGTCGGACGAAATTTGGACACTGTAAATGCTTGAAAATCTGTTTATACAAAACTTTGAGGTTCTAAAGTGGCTCCGTTGGTTTACCCGTGAAATATTCTTCTGGAAGCACCCCTTAAAATTTAAAATTGACAAATTAAACAACAAAATTTGCGGTTTTAGTCAAAAATTTCATGACCGGCCTCTCTGATTGACTCCATCCACTTTGCGCCGGTTGACGTCGTCCTTGATTGGAGTACTTCCTTGGCTCACTGGCGTAACTAGGAATCTTTTCACCTCCAGCCCTTGTAAGGTGCTGCGCCTTTTTCCTTCTTCAATTTTTACATCCCTCGCAATGCTGCGCCCACCCACCCCCGCCGACGGGGGTGGGAAGGTTTAAAGTTACCCCACGTCATACCTCACGTCCGTCACCGTCGTGAAGGACCTGGTCACACTAAAGGTTTAGGTTTCAAGAATCTGACCTTTTCTGTGGTGCGAGGGTGTTTCTATGCTCCCTGTCGTATGCATGTAAGATGATGACGATCCCTCTCCCAGTAAAGGCTCACTTTCCCCATAGCTTTGCATTCGTTGCGTTTCTGGCTTGGACGGGTGAGATTTCGTCCAGTAATCACTGTCCACCCTGCGTGTCCTCACAGATGACACTGTNTTCTACGACCAAAATTACATAAGAATCGACCCCAATCATGACATCAAAAACAAATTCCATAATTTTCACCCCCCGAGCCCCCATTTTGGCCGCCATCTTGATTTTGGGGGGGTTGGACTCAAAATTGAGCTTGACAACATCGAAATTCTTTTTCTACGCATCGAAATGAAGAGATTAAGACATTTTCCACACTTGCTTCACTTACCGTTCCACGGGAGTACATAAGAACCTGGACTAAAAAGTGGTTTTAATTGTTTTATTTTTTCGAAGAAAGAGGAAAATTGACAGCCAATTATCTTCGATGTAAAGAACATGTTTGTATATATAGATAGTACATGTTTCTATATATCGACGGTGTAAGTCGGGAATCACATAACTCGTTTGCGGTGTCTGAAGATCTCCGCCTCTATGTTATTTTCTTTTTAAGAAGAACAAACTGACATCATTCATTACAGTTTTTGCAGAATTTTCTTCGCACAGAGAAGAGAAATCACGACAGTTTTAAAGAATCGCCGTTCAGTAGTTTTTCGCTTAAAAATAACCTATGACAGAAAGTCTGCGACGTCACAAACCGAGTTATGTGATTGCCGATAAACACCGTCGATTTACTGCCTCTCTATTTTTCTCCATTTTTCTGTGGACGTAATAGTTTAAAAGATAGTTTAACCATAAGACCTAGATGTATTTACGAATACATATTCTTATGAACATTTTTAGACGACGTTCAAATTGGTTCGTCCAAACGTTCTCTCCCTTCAACGTGATTACCATAGCCTAGTGGTCTCGATGCCTGGCTTAACAGTTTGGAAATGGTTGGTTCGAGTCCCGCCTGGGAGGAACTTTCGTGATTGTACTTCAAGTTTTTTTGAATACAGTAATTGAAGAGAATTAATTCTGGAAAAAAAATGTATGGACATTTTCCTGAGAATAAATATGTTGAGGTACCGTTTCTTCGTTGGTTGAAATTGATAGACAAAGCTATAGACAAAGAAAACATACGGAGTATAGAGCTATCCTATTGGTTGACATGGTTGGTTCCTGTATAGACTAAGGAAGAAAATGACGGACTAACTGTCGGGTGTTCGGTGGGTTGCCGTTAGTTAGTCCATCACCCACCTCCTACGTCCATTGCCACCACCCGTTTCCACCAATAGGATCCCTCTGAATACCTTTTGTCGTCTTTGTCTATAGCTTTGACTATAAGTTTCAATAATCGGCCCACTGGTCCGGTGAACACTTCCCAACGTCTACTGGGGTATCCTCTAAATTACACACCCTCAACTTTCAGAGCTTTTTTGAGCTTTGGAGTTGATATCAGAAAAACCAGTGGCAACATCGAGTTCCTGGCGAAATTTTACAGAGGAATCAGTACTTGAATCGCAAATTCCTGACACATGCAGGAGCTCAATTTCTAGTCATCGAAGGAGCCTGTCTTAAACTGCGTAAAGTGTGCACGAAGGAGTGGATTTAAGGTGTTTTTAAAATTTGCTCACGTGATTTTGGTGTCATTTGACGCTTGATATATTTATTCACACGGCTCTACCCCTTGCGTGCAAAAGACCCTCCCGGTTATTTTATCAAGAGTTATGAACTGATCCGACTTTTGCTGGTCTGAGCGCAGATTATGTAAGAAATAACTACTCCAACAGAACGTTTTTTAGAAATTCTTTTTTTTCTTTTTACCTTTATGCAGGTTGTGATTATTCGTATGCACCACGTGTGATCCTTTCGATGTTATATGATTCGTTCCCTCTCCTGTTCGAGATGATGCAGGAAGTTGATTTTGAGGAGATGACGAGCGTCTATGGGTGTGTTGGTCTGGACTTGGAGGTGCACCTGACTTTCTCGTTCCGCTTTCAACTGTAGAATGATGTCTAGGAGATGAGGTCGGTGAATTATGTACGTTAGGCTCTGAAATTGATCGGTATAATGAAAAACGTGTGTGTTTAACAGGAGTGGTATCAAAAGGCCTAGTTTTTGGGCCCACTCTCAATTTCCTCAACTCTCTATCCTCTGCTCATTGAATGTCTATATTACCTATACAGGAGAGAAACGAGGGGGGGGGGACGGGAAATAAGGCTAAAATACAACACTATAAACATGAGACGTTTCGACTCAAAACCGAGTCATTCTCGGTCGGAAAATAAACTCAAAATGAAAAAATATCGAAGAAATTCGAAATATCGCAATTCTCGGATCTCTGCCCCCGACATGTAGGTCTCAGGTTTTTTCCCGATATTTGTTAATTTTTAACCCGCATTTTCTGACTGAACAAGATTCAGTTTTAATTGATTCGGAACGTCTCTGGTTTTTAGTGTTGTAGTTCAGCCTTGTTTTCCGTTTTCCCCCGTGTTTTTCTTCTGTTATCATTGTCTCGGGCTGCTTCGTAAGAATGTGTATCTATATTATACGAAATGCGTAATGATTTGGTCGGTTTCGGTCTCCATTTGGATCAGTGGCGTGGCGTGAATTGCGATATATCTTATGCCATTTGAAGCTATGGTAAAGAATCGATTATTAAGGTGTTCGCTGCAAACACCCTGTTTATCGATCCTTTTCCACAGGTTTAAATGACATAACAATCGATTTATCGCAATTCACGCCACGCCACTGATTTGGATATAATACAGGCCTAGCCATGGGTCTGAAGGCCGATTTTGCCGATTTCGGCATTCGACCGCAAACCCGAAAAATCCGCATTTTTTCTCCAAAATTAGTCATAGGACCCATGTCTAGACCACTATTAAAGGTATCAGTATCAGATGTCCAGAAAGTCTAAAATGGAAGGAGGAAGGTCTTTAAATTGAAGCATCACCAACTCCTTGACAACGTCTCTTCAAGAACCATCGCATACTCAATGCAGGTATCAAATTGTCTACAATGTCTAGATCTTTATTTCATCTTTACTAACGTATGCTCTATTTCTTAATACATCGGATTTAATCAGAATAAGCCTATATACCTGAATTTGATCGCGTTAAGCAGAAAGGAACCAAGCCACATCAGATATTGCCAAATTAACCTGGGCAATTTAATTTTTTACTTGAAAACGGCTGTGCGGATTTTCGTGCAAATTTCAGTGAATATTTTAGGCAAATATACCCTTAAACTTTCAAATGAACCCGTACAAACGTTTTCTTGTAAAACATTAAATCGTCACCTTCCAGGCAAAGTATCACAAGCGCCATGCGACGTTTAAAAATTTCCGCCGCCATTTTATTTTTTACTGAGAAATTGTTGGTTGAATCTGTTCGAAAATTTCACTAAATTTTATCGGCAGCACAAAGAAAATTCGGTGTAATTTTCGGACAGCTTCGTTGAACAATTTCTCTGTAAAAAAACATAATGGCGGCGGAAATTTTTAAACGTCGCATGGCGCATGTGATACTTTGCCTGGAAGGTGACGAAATTGCCTAGTTAAAGTTGGCAATAGCTGATGTGGCTTGGTTCTTTTCTGCTAAACGCGGTCCAATTGAGCAGAGCGTAATTTTCTCTAGAAGGGTTCATTTTTCTACAGTTAAACTGAGTGACGAGGTGCCCTTTCACTCTTCGTAAGTTTTTTTAAGGATATAAACTCTACGCATACCCATGCACCAAATTTTGAGACAGAATGATGCTTCAATCGCCTCCTGGGAAAAGTGATTTTTAAGCGAAATATTCTTGAATTCACTACCAGAAAGACATTTTTCCTAAATTCAGAGGAAAAGATGCTTGTATCAAGAAGAAAATAGAAAACTGTTCGATTACAGCAATGCTTTCTTTATTCAAGAGGAATTTATCTCGCACGGAGGGGAATTTCAGTCATTTTTCCAGTGCTTAACAACAAAACAATAGTAGATCTTAAACATTTGGCAACTTCTAATGTAATTATTAGCGGCTCTGGTGCTTGCACTAAAGCTGCTATTCCGGACGGTCCCAGCTGGGGAGTATCATTGGACCATGTTACATTGGAGAGACCGCGCGTTGGTTAATGGGAATCGGCGCCATTTTCGGCTATGTTCCTTGTCATGACTTTATTTTATTGCATATTGTTTTATTGTTAGCCAATGCTATGTTGTGTAGTGTATTTTTGGAATCATGGTGATACAGTCAATAATTCAAAACTTGTCTGTGCTTTAATCTCGTGATGGAAAAAATGTACTTTACGTTCAAAATTTGAAAATTTGAATTTTAAAGTTTTCGCGGTTAAGGAAGCTCCAACCACTGGGTTGGAGCTTCCTAGTCATATTACTCGATATTAGCTGACAGCAAACAAAGGTTACCAAGGAAACCGTAAACGTCTAATGCCGTCTGCCCACGTAGGAAATGGGAGGCGAAAATGGAAGTCATCAGTGCATCGTTGAGTGTTGACGCCCGATCCCATTTTCAGACATGTTCACACGTTTTGCTTGCAAAGAAAAAAGGCGGCAAATCAATTTTTATTATTGGACCAATGAGTGTTCTCCAATTTGAGTTTGTAAACATCGTGGTTTCTAGGTTAGGTTTTTGGCTGTGTGATAAATGATATTATGCCGTCTTTGATTTTGTTAAAATGACTCTATTTATGTTATTTGTTAAACGATTGGAGTTTTGATAAAGTAAGTTGATTTGAATTAAAAATTGTGTCCTTAAAAAATGGATGATGAGGTGATTTGGTTAACATGGGCATTTGTGGTACTTGCGGCGTATTGGGAGTTTGTATGGAAACGACGTGGCAGTAGTCCACACTTTTTACAAGAAACTATTTTGTACAAAGTTCTGTACAAATTTTACACTATTTATACAGTAATATAATACAAAAAAATTATGTACTTTATCACAACTCACATAGCTTCAAAACAAGATAGAAAATGATGGATGCTCAGCCCCGACACATCGATGATCGCGAAATTTGCGCGGCCCGCGCAATTTTCACGTTCAACACTCACCGATGCACTGATGACTTCCATTTTCGCCTCCCATTTGCTACGTGGGCAGACGGCACACAACTACCGTGGCCATCGGGGCGATTATTGAAATGACATCGACTCTATGTCGCCGCTTACGACAAGACATATAGCCCTATCTTAACCGTGTAATATATCGCAATTCGATATTCAAAACCATTACCTACAATTTCAGATATAAAAATGCAAATTTTTTGCAGCTTCGCTAAACGACTTATCAACCATGCATTCCAAAGTTTCTTATCACAGGGCTGTGAAAATATACAATCTAATAAATACAAAATAACCAAATATCTAAAAAGACAACATTTCAGTTACAGTCAGTTTCAGTCTTATTGTTGCACAAACTAGTTATTTGACAAAAAAAGAAGATGATCACTCAATTGAAAGAAATTGGCGCCCAATCACAACGACAAGTTAAAAAAAATACTGTGGGAGAAATTTTAGGATGCGGACCTCCAAAGAGCCTTCAAAATTAAAAGTATACAACAAGTGATAGTGCCATGCATTCTGCATATCAAGGGCCAATACACATTTATACACCGGCTACGTAAATCTGCTGAGTTACAAAACATGAATCGACAGTTGTCGGATTGTACATCAGTGACAAAATGTGTCTAGGCCCTCATTCTTGACTACAACTACTGTCGCCAGAGCCGCTCTCCGACGCGAATGCGTTGGAGGTTCCTGCTTGTTATGATTCCACCTGATGCCGCCCCTTTTTTTAAAAAATCTAAAGTGCGTCTCATATAATCCACGATCACAATTTTTAATTTTTCCTCAGCCCCGCAGGCAAAATATTTCTGTCATCACAAACGTAATATCCAATCAATACACCTAATTGATGGGAAAGCGTGTTGGGATTTCTTTTAGAGTAGTCAAATGCTGGACCTATGATAAAAATGCTCGTCAGAATTTGAATTTTGACTGAACTCAAGGACTCAAGGTGGAAAATGAATTAAAGAGCAGAGTAAGCATGAGGAAAAACGTTAGGATTATTAAAGCTCATCAATGCTACCGTGCTAAGGAAGGACGCCGTACGAACATTCGAGAGTTGCCAAATTTTCTTCGATGAAACGTTTTTTATTGAGGACATTTACGAGTATTTTTCCTTTAAATTTTCAGGAACTTTAAATGAAATTGCGAGCAAAATTATCTAAAAAATTAGAAAAAAATATTAATAAGTTTAGCAGGAAATTCGTGTTTTATCAAAAGGAAATTTGAAAACGCATAAAGGTTCATTCGGCGTTTTTCCTTGGCACGGTAGAATACTGGGTGCCGATTGAATAAAATAGAGGTTTTTAACACGAACGATGTATTAGAATTAAGGGGCTTGGAGGACAAAGCCTATAAGCGCAGTATTTGCTATCCCGAGAAATGCGTATTTAAAGTTTCGAGATTACATGGATCCTTTTGGCAAAAAGGAAGTTCACTTGAAATCATTAAAATCTCAATTCTTTTTAAGAACTACACTGAAGCGAATTGTTCACCAAGCCCCTCAGTTGAGTATTACAAATTCAAAGCTTAATAAATGGAAAAATAACTTACGGCACAAATCTGGACTTATGACAAGAAGGCCTGCCACCATCAAAATTTTGACAGCAATCATGGCGGAAACTGGACTGCAGAACTAAAGATCCTACAGCAAAACGTTCAGACTATCATTCTCATCGATCCTGTTGTCTATCGAGTGAGATTGATGTCTTCAACATGGGTCTACATTTATATAGGTGCAATTAACGACATGTGGGAAACATATTTGCAGTTTCGATTTGCCGTGACACTGTCGCAGCTCAGCAAAAAAAAAGCAATATTCAAACGGCTTCCTTGCAACTCCCTTCATAATGAGGTTTAGATCGAGGCACGAAACCACGTATCTCTGTTTGAGACGTTGGAGACCTCCTATCATACTTTACTTTTTCTTTGGATACCGATAGTAAGCGTAATTTATTCAAAACTATGTTGATTTCTCCTCTCTGTTATCAGAATATACTCTGTATATGTATATTCCAAGCAATAAGGATAACTTGTCTCTCTTCGAAGAAATAAATTAGGAGCGAAAATCTTGAAACACCACAATGGACATAAGTGGTTTCGCACTTTGGTTTGGTCACCGATATCAGAAAAAAATTGTTCAGTAGTTGACTCGTCTCTTATCCGTCGAACCTGCTGTTATCTCCGTTGGTTACCTCTGTGTAGTGGCATGACGCACGTAACTGTTTCATCTTAATTACACTTGTTTACCCCTCTAAATTGGTGGTAATAATTACCCACGCAACCGTGCACAAAACGCAAGGCTTCATCATAGGACGTATTTGATGCTCCTGAGTGCCTCACTGCATGTAAAACTTGCATTTCATCTCAAAAGCATGGAATTTTCTAATCAATTTTCTCCGTTCGTTGCAACATGATGAGCTTGTACAGTACTTTCATCAATGCCGTTGTATTTTGCACGCTAATTCTCATTTAATGCTAACTAACTATTTTGAGATGGAATGAATCCTGATAGGTGGGTATGTATACCTAAAAGTGCAAGAAATACAAAAATTGTGCAAGAATTAACTTTCATAAAGTTTTTCATATTTATTTTTGATTTTTGGTCTTTATTAATTGTTACATTCCTACCTGATGAGCAGAAACATAGGCGTTTATTTGAGCTTCTTGCTTTAAAAACGATACTTTGGCACAGGTGAACATCTCGTAAGAGGAGTTGTTCCATCAAACCCTTGCACACTAGGATATTAGAGAATATTCAACATGGCCGACGCCAATCGTCAACCCACCGAAAGACACAGAGGGAGACGGGCTTTTATCAACCTGCATGTTTATAATTCCATTTTCCTTGCGTTAATGGAAACCATGGTGCTTCCGCGTGATCTGTGCGTGGGAGCGTCAGCTATTTTGAATATTACGTAGCATCCAAGTACGCAAGGGGTGGCTGTGACGACTCCTCTAATGAAACGTTCACCTGTGCTGCAATATCATTTTTGAATCGGGAGGCTCAAATAATGCAAATTTCTTAAGCAGATTGTGAAGTTAGGAGCACATTTCAGACTTCGCTGATGCGATCAACGTTATCTTCGAGACGCATTTCCTGTGAGTAACAACTCCCATTTTCGCAGCAAAATTCCACAGGTCCATTCCAGTAGTGCGACATATCGACGGCGTAAGTCGGCAGTAATATAACTCAGTTTGCGACGTCGCAGACTTCCTGTTATACTTTATTATTTAAACGGAAAACTACTCAACGGCAATTCTCTAAAACTGCCGTGAATTTTCTTCTCTGTGCGAACAAAACTCTGCTTAAACTTCAGCTGTCAATTTGTTCTCCTCCAAAAAAGTAACATAGAGACGGAGATTTTCAGCCACCGCAAACGAGATACGTGATCGCCGACTTACGACGTCGATATACACCCGCGCGCCTCAACCTCACTGAAAAAAAATCTCGGTGTATTTACTAAGAAAAGGGTAAAATTACCAAGAATTCAGGGTTCTATTTGATCCTAGTTTTTTCTTGGTAAAATTACCATTTATGGAATTGGTAATTTTACCGAGAAATTTTCTCGGTAATTTTACTGGACCTTGGTAAAAACGCCAATATTTTTTATCGACTCCCAAGTAGCATTTTTCAACGGAAAAATCGCGATTTTATCGCCGATAAAGTCGCGATTATCCTCGATTTTATCGGCGATAAAATCGCTAGGATCATCAACATTTGAGCGATTATCCTCGATCTTTTCGCGATTTTATTGCGATTTTATCGGCCCGAAAAAATTGCGATTTTATCGCGATAAGATCGAGGATGATCGCTCAGATGTTGATGATCCTAGCGATTGATAAAATCGCCAAAAAAAAGGGGTTAAAGTTGTCAGCCGATTGCCGTTAGGTTCAGCCGTCAGGTCCTTTGACGAAGACGAGCGTAAAATCCCCGGAGCCTCCGCGGGGATTCGAACCCCAATCGCTACGGTGGAAGGCCAGCACATTGTCACTATGCTATGACCGCTATATGACTTGCGTGTGCGAATTGAAGCCTCTTATACATGGATCGGCGCTTCGCAACCTCACAACTTATGTCTTTGCGTTGACTGACACCGATTTTTCATGGGTTTTTTTTTTTTTTAATTTTCCCTCCTCTGTATTTTATTTCATACCTTGAAATACGGTTGGTAAAATAAGGTTCTATTGGTAATCTCATCATTCTGTCTCTGTAAAATTACCAATAATAGTGAGATGGCAAAGTTACCGATGGACCTTGGGAAAAACGCCAATAGTTTTTATCGACTGTGGTAGAATTACCGAGATAAAATGGTAAAGTTACCGGGGATTGATTACCAATAAAAGTGGTATTCTTACCTGAAAAAATCAGTAAAAATACCGGTTTTCAGGTAAGCTTACCAGTCTGTCTTTGTAACATTATACTAATAATTGATAAAAAAAAATGAGATGGTTAAGTTACCAACGGATCTCGGTAAAAACGGCGGCGGCGGAATAGAAACATCTTTCATATGCGTCATTCATGCGTTAATGAAAAATTGCAATTTATTGCAATTTTATCTCTATAAAATCGCGTTCGATAATATCGCGATTTTGTTGCAATTTATCGCGATTTTTCTCCCGATAATATTGCAATAAATCGCGACGTCGATAAAATCGCGATACATTCTCCAATTAAATCGCAATTTATCGCGATCACTGCTACTTGGGCTGTGGTAGAATTACCGAGATAAAATGGCAAAGTTACCGGGAATTGATTACCAATAAATGAGGTATTTTTACCTGAAAAAACAGTAAAAATACCGGTTTTTAGGTAAGGTTACCAGTCTGTCGTGGTAAAATTACCAATAATTGGTAAAAAAAAGTGAGATGGTAAAGTTACCAACGGACCGTGGTAAAAACGCCGAGCATTTTCTTTCAGTGCTCGAGGTCTCTATGATGCCTCTCCACTTTTTGGTGTCGAGTGAATTTAGAATATCGAGACTGACCATCACGTGCAACCGGAGACGATTCTGCTGTTCTGTTTCCAGATTCGAACTCAAAAATTTGATAATCAGGGGAATATTTTGAAACACAGGAAAGGAGTAGCTGCGGCGTTGCCAGTATGACCTAAAACTATGACGCTTCTGACCATCCTCATGGAGCTTTTCACATACACACAGAGGGCTCAAGGAAAAATACCGCTCAACTGCACTGAAAAAAAAGTATGATAATGGCCACTATAAGTCCACTTGATTTTTTACACAGTGATACTATTCAGTGAAAATGTCCAAAATTATGGTAGTATTCACCAGGACTCAGGTGATTATTACCACAATTAACGATTTGGGTGAACGATATTCACCGTGTGTTCATCCGTGAACCGCGTGTTCATCTATTGCGCTCATCAATTAACTAATAAAATTTAACGATATTTCAGATTAAATTGGGAACAAAATTGTCTGAAAAATTATGAGAAAAATATTCATAATTTGTCTAGTAAATTCGTTTTTTATTGAAGGAAGTAAGGCGCCTGAAGTACGCTTGAATGCCCATACGGCGTTCTTCCGTAGCACGGCAGTAAAGGATCTCTCGTGGGTTGCCGTCTAGTCTATTATCAACCTTCTATGTCCATTGCAACCACCTGCATCCACCAACAGGATCACCCAATTGTCCCTCGGTCTTTTATATCTATTGCTCTATCTATCAATTTTAGTGATCAGCCCTCTGGTTGCGATGCGACCTAATTTACCAGGAACGCATCACTGGTTTATAGTGTGATTAAGGGAAGTCGTAAGAGACTTTTAAAAAACATCTGAAGAAAGAGAGGATTAGTTGTAATTTTATGCATAATTTTTTTCATCACTTTAAATGAGAATAATCCATACAGAGTGTACAAAAATCTCAAATGCTTCTTCTTTTCTTCTACGGACGACTAAGGCATAGCCGTGTTTGTCAGGTAATCTGGTACCGAAGATAATTAAATCTAGTTTTGGAGTCCCCAAATAAAGTGGCAACCCTGCTAATGTATTTGCTCCCTATCTTTGCATGGAGAGTTTGTCTTGATGTAGACGTGGACTCTCAGGGTAGGGTGGGATATCCCCTCCATTTTGGCCTCAACTTGAGAGCTTTTTTTGAGCTTGGGAGTTAATTTCAGAGATAATCAGTGGCACCATCGTGTTTCTCACGAACTTTTACATAAGAATCAACAGTCAAATCGCAAATTCCTCACACATGCAACATCTCCATTCTGGAGCCTATTTGTTTTAAAAGAAACTAAACCTGACGTGGTCAGGCCGCATAGGAGCGTGAACTGAGCGCTAAAATAATATTTATTACCTCAAAAGTACTATTTCAACGGACTACAACTCTAATGCTTCCCTTTGTCTCGAAATTGCTATGCAACCAAAATTTCTTACGCCAAAATTTATAGTTCGAATAAAAAAATCGAAATCTGCTGCAATGTAAAATCTTTGGCAACAGCCGTGCAAATTATACGAGGGTCGTCCAGAAAATAAGTTTAAGTATTCAATACCTCCTAAACTAAGATACTGAAGAAAACAAATCATATAAATTATACAATTGAAAACGTCAGTTAGTCGTGTGTTTCCTTTGGGTAGTTTTTTCTAACTCCCCTGCCTGTGCAAACCTGACTGCCGGTCACTAAAAAGAACTGTCCGCAAACGCGGGAAGCTTAAAAAAGTGTGTTACAAATGGAAATGTTGCATG